TCTTCACTAGTAATATAAAGGATTTCTCAACGTTTTGGCACAGTAGTATCAAAGATTACGAAGGCATTTTCCTTTTAAAAAACCCAAGCTAAATAAATTTCTGGTTTCTGCTACTCACAATACCGTCTTGCTTATGTAACTGATACTGGACCGATAGAAGTAATTAGCTCAAAAATTTTCAGTGAAAAAAGTAATAAGAAAAAGATGCATTGGGTTTACTGAAAACCTTCACGACGCAAAAACAAAAGAACTTAAAGTTTAAAACATTTATAACGACATTCGCTGAGTATTGGCAATGCAGGCAGGAATTTTTAAAACTCATATAGTCAACGGGTGCCCATATTACGTATCCCTGGTAAAACTTCAAAAAATGTTTTTTGTAATTTTGTAGAAGTGAAGGCATGCAAGTAACGCATGACCAGTTAACTCTCTGAACAGCTGTTGGTAGTTAGTGGTTTGGACAGTAAACAATCCCTTCCTGACTACTGTTCTATTAAAACTGCATCGGAATCGTACAGAATTAGAAGAGGATTGATTCATCTAAAGTTTTTTGTACTACCGATTAATGCTACTTTCGCGCTAATATAGGATAGCTGAAGACTTAATTTGTCTATGTAAGAGTGCAGCTTTCAGAGTAAAACAGGTTGTTAAAATGCTGGAGACGTCAGCAAATTCTGAAAAAAAAAGTAGAAATAAAGTATAACATAAAATGTTATGATAAAGACTTGGAAATTGTCATCTTTTCAAACATTAACAAATAAACTTTTGTTGCCTTTCTTTCGTGCTTGCACCTAACACAGACTGCCTTCTATTTACTTGAAAATTGGCTCTTTACCTGTAAGAATGATAAGATCATCAAATTCGTCGTTGTCTGGTTGATCAATTGTAGAATCAACTAAAATTAATATAAAAAGCTTTAAAAATTTTTTTAGTTCTATAAAATGTACTTTTTTATCAACTAATTTAATTCAGATGTTTCATAATAATTAGAAATCCTTTTTAGAGCTCTTCCTAAAAAATTTACCACCATTTTAAGCACAGTTTCCTCCAATAATTCTGGAAAATCGTTTTAAAATTTTGACAAAACGATTGGCAGGGGAAAAACCAACTGTCTAGCACATTAACGATGTGTAACCAATCAGAGAGCTAACTGGTTGTACCAAGCCCCTTTCCGTAAAATTATCAAAACTTCTTTCCAATCCCCTCTTAAAAAACATTGGTTCCTCTGAAACATCTACTAAAAAAGCTAAGAAATCCAAGGGAAGGGCTCTAAAATCCAAACAGTCGCCGAGGAAAGTGTCGTATGCGCTTACAATTATAAATGTTGAAGCTTTTCTGAGTACTTTCCATGCAAGACTTGCATTACAGAAGTCAAACCTATTCACATTTCTTTTATAAAAGCAGTTTAGAGATAGAGCAATCGCAAGCCCAGTTAGTTGAACCTTACCAAAGCAGGATTTCTACAAGTGCAAATCCGAGAACAATCAGCTATAGTGAACGGCATCGACAAATTCAGCGGCCTTATATCAACGATTTATATCACTATTACAAACCGGAAACTACTCCTCATCCATCCAGTAAGTCACTGTTCCGTAAATCTGTGGTATAAGCATGAAAAAAAAATCGCAGACTGCACGAAGCAGCTTAGCAGCTTAGCTGAAGTACTTCCGGATTATTAAATTTTATTGCTTCTGAATTGTATTCTGGGTAAGTCTCTGGTCATTCTACCTATTTTCAAAAAACCTTAAATAGAAAGTTTTTCTGCTCCTATCTTCGCAAATTGTAATTTTCTAGTAAAAACAAAAGCAAAATCAAGGATATTTGAAAAATCGGGGATATTCGGAGTCTCACTAAAGTAATGTACGATTAAATCGTTATTAATATATGAAAGTAAGCGAATTGGAAAAACTTAATGACTCAGGTTACTATGTCTATAATTAAGACGAGTTCGAAATTATATTGAGACTTTTTACACGTTAGCCTATAAAATGTTTATTCATGTCATTTGTGATAGTATTCCGACAAAAAAATGGCTTAAAAATCCTTTGCATTCGTTTCTAACTCCCTTTTTAGCAGTACCGCTTGCGTATTTTACTGTTTTCGTAAAAAACGTATTCAGTTACTTTACTGGCTGCTTCTTGCTCTTTAACCGGTTTTGCCGTTACCTTCATCAAGCACTGATCAAATTGCTATTAATTCATCAAAGCATAAATTATTGAAATAACTCAGTTGTCTTTCAAATGAAGTTGCTTATGAGTATTTATGATCTGATAATTAGCGAAAAGAGTTGTAATCAGATTTACTTTATTTGGTTACGTCAACTATAGTACAAAATTTATTTTTCAGGAATATAACCAAGAAAAGAGTTGTCACCAGAGGATATAAAATTCTGATAAGCATTCGTCAATAACTGTTGTTGCTCTATGTAAATATTTCTGACACATCATACTAATGTTCTTGTTTTCTGTTCCACAAATTCTTTTTGGTATTAACATTTCTAAAAGGCCGACTAGAACTACAGAAAAAACATTCGCACTAGGCTTATTTGTGTAAGGGATTTATAAATGTGAATAATTTCTTCAGTTTCAATCAGCTAGAAAAGTAGTCCAGTACTTTTGTATAGTTGTAATGTATGATAACATCTTTTTGTATTCTATGTAATTCAGTAACTTCTAATTTAATTCTCTCACTTCTCCACTATTTTCAAACGGCGTTTGAAATTATGTTTGAATATAAAAAACTTCTAAACAGATATAGCTGACATTATAGTTAGAAGCAAAAGGAGACCGAGCACTAGTTCTGGTTCAAAAGGGTAAAGTATCACAAAAGCATTTTTATGTTTATTATAGACACAGTTACTTCAGAACAACAGCAATTTGGAGTGTAACTATGAAAGCAAAAAAAAAAAATGGGCATTAAGTTTCAGGAAACAGATCTTTTGTTATCAAAGTAAATATATAAGGAGATCATGAAATTGAGAAACAACGGAAACAGTCTTTAACGAACATATTTTACTGCTTTAACAAGCAGTAACTACATTGAAGCGACTCTGTCGAATGCAATTAATTAAACTTCAAGTTGACTCGATCGAATTCTCTTTAATGTACGGCAAAAACAATAATAATCCAACAAAACTATAGAAGAAAAGCTAATCAATTGCCGTGTTTCAGACAAATTTCTTTTTGCTAATAGTTCTTTTTATTTTATTTCTTTTCTTCGCTAATTAAAAAAAATTGGTTTTTTTTATTTGTTAAACTACACTAACCATTGGTTTCGCAGTGCCATACATTTGTGAAGCGAAAGCGTTGTTAGACAAATCACCCGCTAAATCTAATGAGTTTTCTGATGACGGAAAATGTAACAGCTCGTTTTTATCACGCTCTAAAAGTGTTCCGCGAGATATGTCTCGCTTCCTCTCCAAACTTCTAGTCGGTGATTCAGTCTGTGACTGATTACAGTATAAGGCGACAATAGATGCAAAAAATAAATAACACATCATAATGAACAATATTAGTATGGTGGAATGAAGAAGAGCTAATGGAAAGGATGACCGATAAAAGAACAGAGTGTTGTCGCACAGTGCCGTTAAATAAAGAAATATTAAACAAACTGTAGAATAAAAATAGTCTGATGAACGCCTTGTCTTCCTTTCCGGATATCGATAACGTTTTTTCATTTGATTTGTCTTTTTAAAGATTAGCATACAGTAGACAAATAAGACAGCGAATGTTACTGCAGCCGGTACAAAATAATGCAGGTTATATTTTGTATTCATAGAACCTAATGAGCTGAAATTAGAAAAAAATGAAACTGGTATTTCCCTTTAGCACTGTATCACTTAATTTGCTGAAGGTTTTAAAGTGAATAAACAGTACATTCTAACAGAAATCTCTCAGTAGTTTCATTAAAATTTCTAAGGTTTATCAGTTTGGTAGAACAGAAAACTGGCAAAATGTTACGGATACAAAGTGAAACTTACAGAATATTGTTACTGTTGCTTTTGAACAAGAAAAGCGATATTGTACAGAGCAAAGGAATAGCTGAAAATTGATTGTTGTATTCATTTAAAAGCTTGTTTTAGAATATCAAAGAAAATTGAAGATTAGCAACGAATTGGTGATTCCTTCTAAATAAAAAATGAAAGTAAATAGCAGAAGAAGTTTTGGGAAACCTACCGAAAACACATATGATTATAATCGAACACCGAATGTAGGAAGCAACGGTTGACGGAAGAGTATATGCTTCCGTAGAGGTCAAGTGTGAGTGCAAGGCAAATGATAAACAGGCAATAGCAAATATCATTGATACTGACAGGAAGTATAAAGTTATTTCAAAATCTTGATCATAGTTGTAGAGAACAGAAATGAAGCTTGGTGAGAGCAGCAAAGATGCTTGAACTGTATGCAGAAGAAAGCCCAATAAAAAGAGGTACGAAATAACTGCATCGATCTTTTCTCTAAAAACTCATTTTTGAAGTTTAAAGCAGCAGACAAAAGTTATAGGAAGAAAAACATTAAATTCAATTAGAAGTTAAACATAGAAAATTAGTTAACTTCTAGATAGTTTTTATCATTTTGAAGATTCGTGACTTTGAATTATTAAAAACTTAAGTTAGTAAAGTATTGCAGAAAGTATTATGTTCGGATACGGAAAAAAATTGCAAAAACAGTAATAACCAATTGCAGTGATGTGTGGCGTTTTACCTGCGAAACAGGGAAATAAAGAAGAGGAGAATACATCCAAGAGCAGCAAGTATCATTGAAAAAGCTGGAATTACAGACGACAACTGGTCAAAAATGTGGTTCTTTTCAAATTCTGATAGCTGAAATATAGCGCTGATTTCTTTTTTGTTTATAAATTTCTAAAATAAAAAGAAGTACTTCAAATTATATGGTAGTTTTTTCACAATCAAAACTGATAATCGACAGTGTCAAATTATTAACTTTTCTTAGAGGTAGCAGGCAAAACTAAATTTTCTTGAATAATCAAATGTAGAAAACTCAAGAATGAGCAAAGAAAGTTAAACTAATAATTACCGGCAACACAGAAAATCGACCCGTTAATAATGTTTTGCAAACGACAAAATCGTCACGGTTGGAATCCAAAAGTTCAATACCGTCATTAATCCATTTCTGTGCTAAAGCAAATTGCTTGATCAATGTTTGGCCTTGATAAATGTAGGCTATTTATAAAGTGATGTAAATAAATAGAAGTTTGCCAAAGATTGAAATAACAGCTTACTCGTTTCATCGTATCTAACACAAGTATAGTTGATATTTTTCGTGGGAGGCTTAAGCTCAATTTGTAGCGGTTGACGATGTTTTTGTTTCTGAAGACTGACGAAGAGGATTGGACTTTTCTCATCCAAGTGAGAATATAGTGTTGCGTATTGCATACATATTAGCCGGATAATATTAGAAAAGTTGGATAATTTCGGGTGCACAGCACAGCTGTTACCGACAACGATTCGGTAAGTTTCAGCATTACGCATCCACTCGTATGATTTCAGTGCCAGCCTCTGCTGCGCAGAGGCAATTGAATAGGGTACTGGCAGTGAGAATGATAAGCGTTCAGTAAGATCAACAACCCGATTCTGAAAAACCAAAAGAAAAAAGGACTAGACCGACGCTGTATGAGATATGCTTACATATGATGTAGTATTCACCAAGTAATTAAAGTTAACTTGGATCATAACACAGATCATTAACAGGAATTATGTATCACAGTCACCTGCACATCAGTATAATTGCCCTTACTGTCTCTCCAATTTCTGAACAACGTGTCTGCAATAATGTTAATCATATGTTCAGCTACAGCTCCATCAAAGTAAACGTTTGTAATATTTGGCAAAAATGCTGCCTCCTCCAACAATTGATCAACAACATGACCTATTGCATTTACTGCAGCCACATGGCTGGTAGTTGCGTTTCTGATGTAAGAAGATACAATGCTTAACTCGTTAAGAACAGAGTTCTGAAAAAAAATTTAGTGCTGAGCAGCATAATTTACCGATTTATAGTTTCGTCTTGAAACGTGTATTATGAAGAAGCTGAGATCAGTTTGAGAAATCCTCAGTCAAGTGTAAAAACTACTTTTGGTTTTTTGTACAAGCTATCAAATGCCTTGTTCAGTCTTCTTACTTAGTCTAGTCAAAAAAGAAAATTTTGAAGAAAAAATTATAAAGAGTTTCATTTTGTAGACTGCACCTGCTTTCGACAAGTTTCATCTCCTGCAAGTGATTGCCATGTTGCTGCACCAACGTGACCATCCCAGTGGCATCTACGTCTAATATAATCACCTTTTGAACCGAAAGGACACGGCACCACTTCAGTTTTGTTGACTGGGGTATTGCTCCATTTAATTCTACCGAAAACCTCTACAGTCTCCTCTTCATTGCAGTGTTCTGAACAATAACCGTAATAGAGAAAGCTGTTGTCAGCAACAAGAAAAAAATTAGCCAGTTTGCATTTGACCACCATTATAACTTACCTATAACTTCACAAGAGATGCCGGTGTATCCCTGATAACAGATACAATGTTCACCGTTCTCGTTCGAATACTGCTTTAGTTCTCTTGAAGAACTAAAGAAGCAGACAGGACGTCCACCAGCAGAACAAGAGCCGTCACAGTTAAGTTCTAAATATTACTCGGTACAATCAAAAAGTACTAAACGATAGTTCAGTCAAAAAAAAAAAACTAAAAATACTGTCTTACCAGTCGATGCCACTCTAAAATAAACTATATCAGACGGTGTTTTTCCATCAGCATCTATAGCTTCAATCTGCAAGCTGTATTCGGTGTTTGGTTTCATCATTTTCTGCAAAAACGAGCAAGAATATTTTTATATCGTACAAGTTATCTTCTTTTTTAAGTTAAAAATCAACTTTTGAATGGAGTCAAAAATTTTACTTTGAAGTATGCCGTATTAAAGGTTCCATCGATTATTTCTTCATATTCTATATCACTACTATTTCTTACGATTAAACGGAATTGTTCAGCGATACCATATTCTGGGTTCTCCCATTCAAATATCTGATAATTGATGTTTGCGACATTTACAGTAACCTTACGAACTTCTGCAAGCAGTTAGGCGTATTCATACAACGTGCTAAAGGAGCATAAATTTTTCATGGTATGTGTAAAATGTTATGGATAAAACAACAAATCCAAAATTTTTTCCTTCTTTTTTATTCCCTTATTTTTTTCGTAATTCAACAAAATTAAAGCCACTTTACGTGTTATGGTAACTGGAATGAATGACAAATCGGCTTCGGAATGTCGTTGCGGCGATCCAAAATCAATTGCAGACAGTTTGAAATGTATTGGTTTAAATGGTGTAAAGTGAAAGATTTTCTTTTTCAGCTTTATAACACCGTTACGTTCAACATCTAGCAAATCTTTACCTTTACTGGGCAGTATAGATATGCGTGTCTGAAATAGAATAAAAAGGTTTTGTTTATTTTCTTCTTCCTCTTCTTCTGATATTACCCTTTAGGAATTAATTAATAATAAAGATAAATAAATTTCTAAATAATAATTGAAGTCTGACAATAATGAAACCTCTAAACCATATAATTATTTGCTGATAATCTAGAAAAAAAAATTTGGAATACCTGAGCATTGTAGATGACTGGATCTTTGTCAACGACTTCAACTGCACCGAACGTTTGACCGGGTTGAGAATTTAAAGGAACGTAAAAAATATAGGTTTGCTGAGTAAACTCTGGCGCATAGCGATTTTGTCTTAAAATTTTTTCAAAGTTTTGCATTATCAACTTTTGTTGGCAAAAGCTAATTTTGAACTTTAAAATTAATTTAAACAAAGATTGCAATTTCTACTAAGATAGGGTTATTTGTAATCTGTTTTGAATCTACATTTTAAGTCAGTCTTTTAAACTACTTCAAGAAAAAGCCTTCGTACATTACAAATTTGAACAAGTCATTTTAACTCAGAAGTTGTTAAAAAGTGTATCAACTGATAAATATAACCTTGTAATCTGGATGTTTAACTGAACTGAACGAGACTGAGTGGAATCTGCGCATAACAGATGCAACATAGCAACGCTTTCGTCACGTGAAAATTGCACTACTTCAGCTGTGGTTTCAAAGCCCCAGATATCTTCGTTAAAACGGAACCAGGTTATATTGGTCTCCAGCTCAAAAAAGCAATCTCTGTAATGTTTCAGTTCTTTTTCCAGACTTTCGTCAATAGTCATTCGTGTTCCCGGTTTAGCACCATCGTAAATTCGAAGTTCCATTGTAACACCTAAAAACTTCTTTATTTTGATTACAGTAAAACATCGGACTTCACAGTTAACTCATAATTTTTATTCAGTTACTCTAAAACAGTAAGGTTCTGTATTACTGCAAATAATCTAAATTTTAATTGGTTTCGCAGAACAGTTTTGAATTTTGAACTATCGACTGTGTCAAAATAGCTTATTAAAGAAAACAGAATGGCAAGACCTACAAGGTTTACAAAAAAAAAAAAAAAAAAAAA